CAGTTCTGTTCTTCTGTTGAAACGACTTGACAAAGGAATAACCAAAGAAAAAAAGAAACAAAAAGCAATGTGAAACAGGGGTTCAGGGATTCTACTTGTTTCCAAAGGTTCATTTATAATAGAGATTTCTATAAAAAAAAAACAACCAAGCTCGACTGGAAATACTGGTGTTCATCTGACCTAGCACTTCATTGCCAATGCAATATTTATAATTAATTTATTGAATACATACATCTGTTTATTTTGTTACTATTATTTATGCTCAAAATTCTATTTATATACTGCTGAAGGTGGGTTTTTTAGTTGTAACAAATTTTGTGGAGTTTTGTAATGCAATTTTAGCAAACAATAGCCTTTTGAATTTCTGTGCATCATCAGTAGTGTCATGTGAACATTTGCAATAAAAAGAAAATCATCTTCAACACAGAAACCTAGCTGAGTCTCTTGTCACTCCTTTAGTCTAGAGTCTTGAAGAACTGTGACATCTGGCTCCATTCCATGTGGAGTCCCTGTGAAGCTGGCATAGTTGAGCCACAACAGGCAAGAACAGGAGAGACAAAGGGGTTTTCCCAAAGCTAGTCAGTGAATGTCAAGGCTGGAATTCAAGCCTGTCTGTCTGCTGCCAGTTACTGATGAGCTCCACGTGATACAGCAAGTCTAAGAAAAGTATCTCTGTTACAGGAGGGTTTTGGAAACAGCTTGTTAATTTTTGACCTTGCAATATGTGAAGGTCACTCCATTTAGTTCTAATCTATTATTCTCCTGATATAACAAATGAGTTCAGCTTTAAGTGTGTGTGTCCTTCTATTCTTCCTAATTCAATCATAGAATAGATTCATAGAATCATCTAGGTTGGAAAAGACCCTTAAGATCATTAGTCCAACTGTTAACCTAACACTGGCAAGTCCACCACAAAAAAAAAACCCATGTCCCTAAGCACCACATCTACATGTCTTTTAAATACCTCCTGGGATTCTGACTCCACCACTGCCCTAGGTAGCCTGTTCCAATGCTTGACCATGCTTTTGGTGAAGGATTTTTTCCTAATATCCAGTCTAAACCTCCCCTGGCACAGCTTGAGGCTATTTCCTCTCATCCTATCACTTGTCACTTCAGAGACATCACCAACACCAACCTCACTACAACCTCCTTTCAGGTACTTGTAGATTGAGGCAGGTGCACGCTGCCTGTAGACATCCTCAACTGTGGATTTGCATCTATTCTATAAAATATCCCTTTCATATTCCATTTATGTCATTAAACCCTGCCATGTCATTCACACAGCCTTCAAGGTGTCTGACACAGAAAATAGCACTAAGCCCCAGCTGCCCACAGGAGGTTATTCCTTGGGGAGATGCAAAAAATCCCTACCAGGCGTGTTTTCTCTGATTTCTCTTCAGCTGTGCTACGTTTACCTGCAAAATGAAAAAAAATCCTGTACATGGAAGGCTGCTTCCTTTTACAAATGGGAACCACACTCAGTCAGGGAGAAAACTGGGGTTATTTTTTTGCCTGAAAAAGATGTTGCTTTTTGTTTGGAAATTCTGTGAGTCACAGAATTGCAGATATCTTGGCTGGAAAACACCTCTTGTGGTGTTTCCTTTCAGCTGAGCCACTGCCACACATTTGGAGGGTTCCTGCTCCTCGTGTACTGGGAGATGTAGTCCTGATTTTCAAGTTAGAATCATAGAATCATAGAACAGTTCGGGGTGGAAAGGAGATTAAGATCATCAAGTTCCAACCCCTCTGCCATGGGCAGGGACACCTCACACTAAACCATGTCACCCAAGGCTCTGTCCAACCTGGCCTTGAACACTGCCACGGATGGAGCATTCACAGCTTCCCGGGACAACCCATTCCAGTGCCTCACCACCCTCACAGGGAAGAACTTCCACCTTATATTCAATCTAAACTTCCGCTGTTTAACCCGTTACCCCTTGTCCTATCACTACAGTCCCTAATGAAGAGTCCCTCCCCAGCATCCCCACAGGCCCCCTTTCAGACACTGGAAGGCTGCTATGAGGTCTCCACGCAGCCTTCTCTTCTCCAGGCTGAACAGCCCCAACTTTCTCAGCCTGTCTTCATACGGGAGGTGCTCCAGTCCCCTGATCATCCTCGTGGCCCTCCTCTGGACTTGTTCCAACAGTTCCATGTCCTTTTTATGTTGAGGACAGAACTGCACTCCAGTGCAGTGCAGGTGAGGTCTCACAAGAGCAGAGTAAAGGGGCAGGGTCACCTCCTTCGACCTGCTGGTCACGCTCCTTTTGATGCAGCCCAGGATACGGTTGGCTTTCTGGGCTGTGAGCGCACACTGAAGCTGTCTCATTCATTTTCTCATCGACCAACACCCCCAAGTCCTTCTCCACAGGGCTGCTCTGAACCTCTTCTCTGCCCAACCTGTAGCTGTGCCTGGGATTGCTCCAACCCAGGAGTAGGACCTTGCACTTGGCATGGTTAAACTCCATAAGGTTGGCATCAGCCCATCTCACAAGGGTGTCAAGGTCCCTCTGGATAGCATTACTTCCCTCCAGCGTATCAATCAAACCACACAGTTTGGCATCATCAGCAAACTGGCTGAGGGCACACTCAATCCCACTGTCCATGTCAGCGAGAAAGATGTTGAACAGGTCCCAGCACCGATCCCAGAGGAACACCACCCGTTACTGGTCTCCAGCTGGACATTGAGTCATTGACCACAACTCTTTGCATGCAGCCATCCAGCCACATGCAAGTTGGTTAATTCCAGAAGTTTTCAGGCCTGGAACATTCTAGTTTCTGGTTTTCATTCCCAGTTTTGATCAGGCACTGTATTGTCTTTGAATATTAGATACCTTTCAAGACTTTTTTTTTTTTTTAAGAAGCAAAAATCAGAAAACAAAATAAATATGTGCTTTTAATGTTTGGTCAGCAAAGATTTACTTTTAATTTTCTGCTAAAAAGAAACCAAACAGTTTTAATGTGAAACACAGCAAATAGAGGGTAAACTGTTTAATTTAACCAGAAAGAGATCTTTTCAGTAGATGTAACATCGTTGTTCATGGATATTGCTCAAGAGCACAAAGATGAGTGACCTTACATTTTTAAACAGCATCTTGAGCTCTCCAGTGACTCTGCTGAGAACTCTGGATTTGCATCTTCTTGCAGAAATACATTTCTTACTGCAACAGGATAGTTAGAGGTTGGTTCAATATTTATTCAGACAGAGGGAAGGTGCCAGGAGCTAAATTACCCACACCGCTTCCTGGAACGCGTTAATTTTCCTTGGAGATTTCTCATCCAAGTTCTGACTAAACCTGGCTGCTTTGTTTATAAAATCTGGAATGGTCACAGCTTGAGTTGGAAGGATTACTGGAAAATGCTTTCCCTACCGTCAGGCACCTGACTTGGTCAGGCACTTGCTGTGCAAAACCTCGACACACCGCTGCCTTTGGTTCTGTGGGAATGTAAACACCACCTCCACCTTTCACCATATACCTCCCAGCTGATCATCATTTCTCAAAGCCAGCAGGACAATTGCAGTGCTTTCATTTGCAACAGTACATTTTTACAGCCTGAAAAGGTTTTTAAAGATCAGGTGTCAACTGTCCCCTTGTGAAGTCTCAGTTAGAAGCTATGATGTGCAAATACAAGGTGTTAAAATAGCGGGAAGACTGTAGGAAAGGAGATTCTGGGCATCTTCATTTCCACATTGAAGAAGTGTAAAAAGCTATAAATCCTTTATTCAAGAGCCATAATATCAACTTTACCTCTGCTGAAAGCACTGAAATGATGTTCATGGAAAATTTGGGAGTACTCTTTCTACCCTGACAGAGTACTTTGTATATGGACAGAGAACAACAAATGAAAGAACTACACTTTCTTTTCCCAAAAATGTTATGGAAACCAACCCTCCTTTTGGGAAGCATAAGGCATATTTTCAGGATTTTCCATCAATCCCATGGTCTACTGAGATCAAAGAACCATTCCATTAACATCCAAAGCAAGATTTAAGCTGTAGCTATTAGCTTAGAGGAAACCTTTGGGACACCTGATATTCCCACTGACCTCATTGAACAGTATATCTTTGTGATTGTGTGGTTGTAAAGCAGATTGGTATTCACACCTAACAAATCTTCAGTGTTTTTATGTGAGATACAGTGATATCTACACTTTAAATTAATGCAGAAAACACACTGGCCAGCTCACTACAGTCACTCAAGATAAATCAGGACAGCCTGCTGTGGTGGAGCATTTTTAATGGACTGGGATTGACAGGACAAGGGGTAATGGGTTTAAACTGAAACAGGGGAAGTTCAGGTTAGATATAAGGAAGAAGTTCTTTCCCGTGAGGGTGGTGAGGTGCTGGCACAGGTTGCCCAGAACAGCTGTGGCTTCCACATCCCTGGCAGTGCTCAAAGCCAGGTTGGATGGGGCTTAGAGCAACCCAGTCCAGTGGAAGGTGTCCCTGCCTGTGGCAGGAGATTGGAACTAGATGAACTTCAATCCAAATCAGTCTGGGATCCTGTGATTGTTGTATCTAGTTATCTAAGCCTTTAGCAGCACGACTTTACTTTCACTCTAATGTAGTTTTTCTCTTTAGACCCTCCTCTGGATTTTAAAGCTGTGTTTTCAAATCCTCTTCTCTCCTGTGCTTGGTTTGGAGGGTAACAGACCTGCTGTACCCCTACTGGGATTGGCTTCTGTGTGCCTAAAGCCACATTTTCACTAAAGAATGTAATACAACAGTGAGTTAACATGAAAATATATGCTTATAAATGAGTATAAACTCTTCCTGTTACCAGTGTGGATCGATAACACCAAATACGTGTAACAAAGCCGTCTAGAAAGCACGATGAAGCTTGAGTCAGGTATTTACATCATGCGTTTTGGGGTATATACATCAAAAATACACGACTTGAAGCTCAGAACCACTTCCAAACAACGCCACACCGGCTTGTGCAGGAGCCGCAGGGGTAGATGGAAGCGCAACCCCTCCAGCACCAGCAGCTCCCCCCCTTGCGCACTGGCGCACTGGAGCAGCCGTCGCCCCTCCGGCTCGCCGTCGTTTCCCGGCATGCCCAGAGGCTGCGATTGGTGGCGGTGTGATGGCGGCTGTGACGGTGGGCCATGACATGTTTGAGGAGATCGTGATGGCCGAAGAGAGGTGCGGTGGGTCGGGGTGCCCTGGCTGGAGCCCAGGGACGTTGTGGGGCCGGCGGAGCTGCTGTGGGTGATGGTCGGCGGAGCGGGAGAAAGGGAGGGGACCCCCAGGTTTAGCCTTGGGCCTAGTCCTGGACGTCTGCAGTCCGCGGTAGGAGTTGAGAAGAGAAAAATGAGGGGTGAAGGGGGGTAAAAGGAGTGAGGTCAGGGCTTTAGCTCGGCACTGGTGAGGCTGCACCTCGAATCCTTTGTTGGTTCTGGGCTCCTCACTGCAAGAGAGACATTGAGGTCCTGGAGCAGGTCCAGAGAAGGGCAACGGAGCTGGTGAAGGGCCTGGAGCACAAGTGTGATGAGGAACCGCTGAGGGAACTGGGGGGTTTAGTCTGGAGAAGAGAAGGCTCAGGGGGGGCCTTATCACTCTCTACAATTAGCTGAAAGGAGGATGGAGCCAGGAGGGGGCTGGTCTCTTCTCCCAGGAACAAGTGACAGGACAAGAGGAAATGGCCTTTAGCTGTGCCAGGAGAGGTTTAGACTGGAGATTAGGAATAGTTTCTTCCCCAGAGGGTGTTCAGGCATTGGAACAGGCTGCCCAGGGCAGTAGTGGAGTCACCATCCCTGGGAGTGTACACAGACCGTGTAGACGAAGCCCTCAGTGTCATAGTTTAGTGATGGCGTTGGTAGTGCTGGGGAACGGTTGGACTTGGTGATCTTAAAGGTCCTTTCCAACCTGTTTGATTCTGTGATTCCATAATGAGTCCAGGGAGGGGGTGAGGAAGGAGAAGAGTGGGGGAAATTAAAATCATAGAATCAGCTGGGTTGGAAAAGACCTTCATGATCATCAAGCTCAACCAGCCCCCTGGTTCTGCATTTGCATGTGGAGCCTGTTCAGTATCAAGGGGTAGAAGCTGAGCTCCCCACAGGTGTGTGGCATTTCAGTGCCATCACATCCCTACTACCTGTATTCCTAGGCCAAAATTCTCCTCTTTGCTGTTGCTGAGTGACCGACCTGTGCAATCTGGGCTCTTCCACCATGTGGAAACCTGAACCAGAGTTGAGAGCTTGTAGTTTGTAGTGTTATTTTGGTGAAAGTGTTGATTGCACTGTGGAGTTTATTGTTCTTGGCAAATTGTTATAAACATGTTTGGAAAGAACACAGAATGTGTAATTGAATCTTAATTTAAACCAATATTATGTATCTGAATATGGGTAGTTGCATTTTGGAGGTGGTTTTTGTTTTTTTCTTTTGTGGTTTTTTTTTTTTTTTTTTTGCATGGTTTTATTCCTGGAACTTGCTTGTATGCAGTGTGACTGATATGAAAGTGGCTGACAAAAAAGTTATCTTTCTGTCTTCACAGGTTTCATGGTGAAGGGTATCAGGAGGGGTATGCTGAAGGCAGTTATGTTGGAGTTTTTGAGGGAAGGAGATATGGATCACTCCATGGTGCCAAGATTGGGTCTGAGGTAAATGGGAAAATACTTCAGAATCACAATGAGAATCACAATGTTTTTGTCATTAGAAAATTACTGTACTGCAGAAACTGTTAGATAAAGTTCCATATTTTGGTAGCCTGACACCTGCTATGTCATATTGCTATGTATGTGTCTAAGAGGCCCCATAAGGCTAGTTTGAAGTGGTGTTTTGATCTGAACAGTTAAATAGGTGAGTTTATGTTTCCTGAACTTATTTTCTAGATGGGATTTTGATTGTGTTTTGTTTTGAGAGCGAGGATAAAGAAGAAACCAATTCAAACAAGCTTGCTCAGAAAAAAATTAGGATGGACTATACAATTATTTCTGTAACCCAAAACTGTGGCTGAAGGTGCTCCTGTACTGTCTCCTGTGGCTCAGCATTAGAGAAAAACATGGAATGTTGGATGGAGAACCATCAAGGGGCAGTTCTGATGTCTCTGTTACACTTTTTGTTATTTCTAATAGTGGGAGAGTTGATTAGTTGAGGCACTGTTATTGTTTAGAACATGGGAGTCAGTCCTGTGTGTTGGCACACACACTGAATCGGTAAGCCTTCCTAGAAATGAAAGGACTGGAGAGTGCTGTTGAACAACCTTAACCTGTCTTGTATGTTCAGGTTTCACAGAATCACAGGCTGGTTTGGGTTGGAAGGGATCTTCAAGCTCATCCAGTTCCAACCCCCTGCTATATAATAACTTGATGAAATATAACAAGGGAAAGTGTAGAGTCCTGCATCTGGGCAGGAACAACCCCAGGTTCCAGTATAGGTTGGGAAACGACCTGTTAGAGAGCAGTGTAGGGGAGAGGGACCTGGGGGTCCTAATGGACGACAGGATGACCATGAGCCAACACTGTGCCCTTGTGGCTAAGAAGGCCAATGGCATCCTGGGGTGTATTAGAAGGGGGGTGGTTAGTAGGTCGAGAGAGGTCCTCCTTCCCCTCTACTCTGCCCTGGTGAGACCCCATCTGGAATATTGTGTCCAGTTCTGGGCCCCTCAGTTCAAGAAGGACAGGGAGCTGCTGGAGAGAGTCCAGCGCAGGGCAACTAAGATGATTAAGGGAGTGGAGCATCTCCCTTATGAGGAAAGACTGAGGGAGCTGGGTCTCTATAGTTTGGAGAAGAGGAGACTGAGGGGTGACCTTATAAGTGTCTATAAATATATAAAGGGGGAGTGTCACGAGGATGGAGCCAGGCTCTACTCAGTGGCAAACAATGATAGGACAAGGGGTAATGGGTACAAACTGGAACACAAGAGGTTCCAGTTAAACTTGAGAAGAAACTTCTTCTCAGTGAGGGTGACGGAACACTGGAACAGGCTGCCCAGGGAGGTTGTGGAGTCTCCTTCCCTGGAGACATTCAAAACCCGCCTGGACACATTCCTGTGTAACACTATCTAGGTGTTCCTGCTCCCGCAGGGGGATTGGACTAGATGATCTTTCGAGGTCCCTTCCAATCTCTAGCATACTGTGATACTGTGATAGGCAGGGACACCTTCCACTAGACCAGGTTGCTCCAAGCTCTATCCAACCTGGCCCTGAACACTGCCAGGGATTATTGAACACTACCAAGTTTATCATTTATTATCCTTTGTTACCGAGCAGATCCTTACAAGAAGTTTTCAGTGTCTGTAACACAGGTAGCCTTCATTTATTCCACCCTAATTTATTGAACTTCCTAGCATAGAAACACTAATCCAGTGTATCCAGTGATTTGTTTCCTGAAGAAAGGGTTACAATGTAGTGCTTTATTTCTGTTTGACTATATATACTGTATATATATATACACTGTTTATACCACATACGTATATTTCCCCCCCGACATTCAGATTGGCTACTACCTTGGGTTTGCACGGACATGGCAGTGTCTGCTCCAGAAATGCACAGATGAAAAGAACAGGTAAGGTTAAAAAAAAAAAAATTTACTGGTCTTTAATACTGTTTCAAATTATGGTGTCCACTTTTGCTTCTTGCTCAGTACAAAAGAAATACTGAAAAACTAGAAGAAAGGTGAGCAGAGGGCCCTAGGGTGGTATAATATGCTGAAGCATGTGATACTGGAAAGAGGATAAGGGACCTTGGTTTCGTCAGCCTGCAGAAAAGAAGGTAAGGGAGATACCTAGTGGTACCACAAAAGAGGAAATTCTAGGTAAGGTGGAGGCATGTTCCTTGCGGAATTGTACAGTAAAAGGACCATAGGCAACTTTTACCATTTGAAACAAGTTCTCATGGGGCATAAGGAGAAGTCCCTTTCCAATGCAAGCAGCTGAGCACGGGGACAAGTTGTCCAAAGAGACTCTAGAAGCCTCATCTTTGTAGCTTTTCAGAATCTGCTTGGATTCTGAATCTGCCCTGAGCAGCCTTACCTAGCTTTGAAGTTGGGCCAGCTTCTGTAGGAGGTGGACGAGATGGCTTCAGCTGTCCCTTTCAACCTACATTTTTGTATTACTTTCATTCTTTTCTTTGTATATTTTTTCCTATCCACTGTTGATTAATTTATCTGACAGAATTGCCACCATATGTCAGCTGTTTTGATGTGTTCTGGTGAGCTTTTTTATTGGTTTCCTTAGTTTGCTCTGTCATCTAATCAGTATTTCTGAAGATTCTTGAATATTTCTCAACTTTTAGCAGTTAAGTTAAAAGGGAAACTTTGACTTTGTCAGTTGTGCTACAGCTGAATTTCTGATTACGGCTTAAATATCTATCAAATACACACTCTCAGTGAGCTAAATGGGAGAAGCTGAAGTAGGGAAGGATGGAAGTTGAAGTAAAGAAGGATGGAGGGCTGGGTCCTACACACTGAATTATATATAAGTATTGGTATAATTTTCATATTGATAGATTGGAAGATTTTCTGCAGTAGGCTCATTTTATTTTCTGTTTTGATGTTTTATAGCAAAAAGATAAGGGCTCTGGATTCCTTAATAAGGATGATTCAGAAATCCCCATATGAAGATCCTACTTACGATAAGCTGCAAGAAGATCTGGAAAAAATCAGAGGAAAATTTAAACAGGTTTGTAGGATTAAGTTGTTATTTTAGAACAGTGGTATTAATTTCTGGAAATTTTTAGTCTCTAAGCCTGCTCAAAGCCACAGTATTAGCACAGAGCAGTTCTTGTTCTCCTTTTGCAGTCATAGTAAAACACTTTAAGTGAATTAAATGAACATACTTGATAGTTGAAAATTCCCAAACTGATAGCAAATGCAAAATAAAAGAAAAAGATGTGTTTGAAAGGGAAAAGTTGTAAATGTTATTTGACAATGAATTGCAAGTGGGACCAGAAGAAGAGAAATGGAGAAACTGGGAATTTTGTTGGAAAAGAGACTCTTTGAAACACTTTTGTGTATTCTTTTTTAGGTTTGTACAATGTTAAATGTTCAGTCTGATTTTAGAATCAGTACTGAAAGCTCTTCCCTAACATTTTGAATATAACAGATGAAGGTAAACATGGATGACCAAAGAAGAAACATTAAAAGAACAGATAACTGGAGAAGCATTTATCTATTCTTACTTTAAACAAAATCACAGTAGTGAAGGAGTGCTAAGTATTAAAGGGGAAAGAGAAAACCATTAAGCTTGCCAGAGTACTTCTTGTATGTCACTTAACATTTATTATCTCCAAGTTTTACTTGAGAGCACTGAAACACTGTTAAATAGAAATATTTGATTTAACTAGCCTTGCACTGAAAGATTTAATTCCTCAAAAGGAAAATGTACACATTTGCAATGTTTTCTTATTTAAAGAGTGTATGTTAGTTAAAAATCTGTGTATGCAGATCATGCAGTTTACACAATGTGTAGGTATTGTAGGTGAAGTAAAATATAATTAGTTGCCTGTAAACTTTGCAGTAGGAATCATTGTGAGTAAAGGATAGAATGACAAAGGAAGTCAGAATGGGGAGGAGAAAGATTAAGATACCTGCTCATAAAGTAGCTGCAGCTCAGAACCTGAAAAAAACCTACCAAACCCCCCCAAACTCAAACAGCAAACAATATAATGATCAGTGAGAGAAACACGACTATAGAAGAGTTGATACTGATTTTCTATATGTATCAGTACCATTTATCAAGGAATAGAATCTTATTTTCCAGTCTTGAATATGTACTTGTTAGTCTTACTAAAAAAAAAAAAAAAAGAGGATGCTATGTTGAAGAGCAGCACAGTCACTTACTTTATCTTTATTTAAAAGATAATTTAGGTTGCTGGATGTCTTTGCATACCATTTGCAAGATATGATGAGTTCTAGAAGACCTTTCATCAGTTGTTACTTATGCTGGCTAAGTCCACACAGTGTAGTGTAGGTTCATAAAGACAGATTTGAGTCCTATGGCTGTCAGAAGCTGCATGCAGGGTAAAGTATCTCAGGTGAAGGGAATGTTTTAATATAGCTATATCCTTGACCAGCACTGCTGTGTGCCATCTAGACTTCAGCTCTGGTTTACTTGTACAGCTTTATTATACAAGAAAATAACTTGAATTTTTAGATTGTCACTGTGTAGTCACATCTGGGATGTAAAGCACATCCATTCTGCTAAAAGTTTTTGATTTTGGACTTCGAAGATAATTCTGATGAATGTAAGAAGGGAGTTGTGTGCATTTGTGTCAACTTATGTCAAAACAATCTGTTGGTTTTTGTCTGTTGCCTATGTAAGTAAGCCATTTCCTTAGTGACTTTTCTTAATAACCAAGCAGTCAATGACAGTTCCTTTGAAAATGGGTTTGATGGAAAATCTCTCATTTAATTTTATTTATAGCAAATTATTAGAATAAATTATTATCTAAATATATATTTAGATACACATATTTAACTATAAAGATTGTAGCAACCAGGATTTCAAACTGGGATGAGCCAGGTTTAGGGTTGCCTATGATGTCTTTAATTTGGCTCCGTATGTGTGTCCATACTGATGGAGTCTCTTCTTCCACAAGTCTATTTCCTGAGTATCTTGTGTTTCATGTCTTGTATGGGCCTGAAGGTGTTTATTAAGGAGGTATGGTTAAAATTTATGTTGGGTATGTAGTTGTGTACTTTGGTGCCAATTTTTAAAACACCAATTGGTGCAACCAATTTTGGGGTTTTCTGTGCTGTCCAGGCTGTAGCAGTGGAGTTTTCATAGCATACTGGAGGGGTATTTTTATACCTTATTTACAGCTGTAAAGCTGTAAAGCCCAGGTTATGTCAAGACTGTTGATTTGCCTTAACCAATGTGAAGTGTCTACTGTGGCTCATTCCAAGTAATTTTGCATTTTAAGTAGTTGAATACTTCAGAACGCGCTTCTCGCCAGTATCAAGAGTGGCCGAGTACTGAGCTTTTTTGCATGTTGGTATTTTTTGCCTGTGTTTCTCAGACCACTCACCTAGAAAATGAGGAACAGTAGTTAGCAAACACCTGTGAAAGGGATGTGCTTAAGCCAGCTAGAATGCTAATGGAGAAATAAAAAATTCCATCAAAATTTCAAAACCCAGTGTTCAGTTTTGTGAGATAGAAGCTTATGATATCATTTCTGTCCTTCTTTGTCAACATCTTCCTAAAATCTGTAACAAATGAAACAGATTCTTACAAATGGCTTTGGTAGTTCCACGCCCTGCATACCCATCCTCTTGAGTGCTGGGGACTCTGCTGGAATCTTTAATCTTTAATTACTTTAAGTAATTAAAGACCCTATCAGAAGATCTGTGCACAGAGAGGCTGAATAAAGCTGTGGACCACAGTCATTCAGACTTTTCCTGGTTTGAATGCTCAGCTGTGCAGCTTAAGTATTGATTTAAAGACTGGGTGGAAAAGGGAAATAGTGCAATCTTGTAGATTATAATATTGGTTATTAATAAAATAGGACATAGGGATTGTTGCTTTGTGCTAAGTCATCAAACAAGTTTGGAATTGTGCAGAAGTACTTGATCTGTTAAGAACAGTTAAAATGTTCTGAAAGTTGCTAAGACTTAAATATCTGTCACTGTGTTTACCACCTCTAGATACTGCTCAGTAGGTAGGGAGGAATGTTTGAAACGTTGAACATTTCTTGCCTGGGCTGTGTTCTGGCTTGTTTTGTTTCTTCATGATCGTAATTCTCTCATCTGAAAGCGGGAAATACAGAATTGTATTAAAAGATGGGTACAAGACTGATTACTGCTGGGGTACTGAAGTCATTGCAGTCCCGAAGAATTGCTGTTGAGGTATGAAATATGTGTGTTCTAGTATGCACATAGAACCTGTGCCAACTCATATTGCTAGCTTTATGGATAAATGCCATTTAAAGAAAGAAAAATATAGACTGGTTTAAATACTCTGGGTAAGCAGGATTATTTTTGGCTAGTATAGTACATGTTTTGGTCCGTGTACTTAGAAGTTCTAGAAAGGTAGCACATTTTTATTGATTATTTTTAAACAGATTCTGTTGAGACAAAATTAGGAGGTTCAATTTTTCAGTAGATTTGTTCTAAAATTTATGTAGGTTTTGGCTTTTCAGGAGATGGAAGAGAGAGTTTAAGCCCTATGATGTATCTATGAATGCTTATTTGTGCTTTGACTGTAAATACAACTTCTTATATTGGAACAGCGGGAGATCCATCTGTCAGAAGTCTGCCAAAGCTGTGTATTTTATTAGATACAGCCTTCTTTTTCAAGATCTGATTTAGTAATCTTAGATTCTTTTCTAGTTTTGCTCTCAAATGAAAGTGGGTGGCTTGTTTGAACATTTGTGTTTGGGTTTTTTTATAATGTCCTGTAGTTACTCAGCAGTGTTGCATGCGGAAAGGGAATGCTGATGATATTAAGGAATGTCATTTTCTGGAGCTAAAGGTGTGGGCAAGGTAAGGATAAGACTCCTCTGGGTAATTGCTTTCTTAAACAGTTTCTGCAGTGATAGCAGTGGGAAGCACTACGTATTTATTGACAAAGTGCTGGTGTTGGTGTGCCTAATGATCTGAGGGATACAGTTCAAAATCTGCTGGTATATTAGAATTATCTGAAGTCCTGGATTAGAATGTTGATTTCTGATGGGATTTTGTGCAGGACACTCCAGAGAAGGTTATAACAAAGCTTGATCAGGCAGACAGAGCAATGTGTGTGTGATGCTATATCTCATCTTCATCTTACAGAGAAAGGCTTTGGTTTGAAACAAAAGTTGTAATATTTCTGCTGTTGTTTATATTTTTGGTACTACTCAGTATGAAAGTGCCTTTTGAATACTGCTCTTTGCAGCTTGTTATGGTAATGGGTTCTATCTAATTACAGCCTAAAAAAAATCAGCTTTCATCTTTTGGCAAGTAACCATGATTCTCATTTTAGTCTGCCAGAGTTGGTTTTTTTAAATGGCTAAAGTTATGACAGTACACATTACCACACAAATGTATATATCACCAGAGAAAATGGAGGTCTGGGAGATGTGAAATGAGTTCAGCAATTTCCCAGTTGCGTATTTTGGTGTCTAGTACAACATATAAAGGCCAGGTAGAGCAATCTGGTACTGAAGTGTTTCAGTGTGTCCCAGTGTTTGGAGTTGTAGAAGCAGCTCACTTCCTGTTGCTGTTAATATTAACAAAGCTTTGTGCTTCATTTTGAAAGCAGTCTTCTAAGTATATAAATCCATGCACTCAGACTTGAAAAGTAATGGTTTCTGTAGCAGAGACAAGAAGAGATCTTGGAGCTCTTGGATTCTTTGGGATTGTCTAGACTACACTATGCAGTGGGGTAATATCTGTGCTAAAATTAAACCTATCTTAATGCAGCAGAAAGAGTATCCCTATGTTAATAGGGATACTATTAGCCAAAGTACGGATATAGGTAATGTACAATGCTGTTAAATATCCAGTTAGTTCACTTGTAGCGAACTTGAATCTCTCTTTGGCATCACACTGTGAATATTCTTACATTAATCACAAGAGTATTTATTCCCCAAGTGTAATCATTACATACTTGCAGCATTTTTCATCCTGAAGTTCAAGTACTGTGCAACTTCTGAAAACACAGATAGCTCTACCAAATGATGTAATACTGTGTGGAAGGAATCGCAATCACTAAGATTATCCAAAACATAGCCAACATAGGAGACTTTGGAAGTCTTTATTAAGACAAAGTATTAAGTCCCCCTTCAAAGGTAATCAGCTATAGTAAGTGCCAGTTGATTCTCAAGGGACTTGCTATGCAGTTTTTTAATTTTTCTAGTATTATTAATTGTTCTTTTTAGTTATTATATTCCGTATCAACATGTAATTGACCAGTAATACAGTACTCTGTGTACCTGGTTTTGGCATGGCAAAATTGCCTACAGATTTCTGAATAAGAAACAGGATACAGCTTTGCCTTAAAAAAAGTTAGAAGGATTGATTGTAGTCATGCCGAATTTGGATGGGTGGCATCTGAAATAATGGCACACTGACTGAATGGATTTAATTGATGCTTGTTTATAATAAAATCAGTGTTTATTTTAGCAAAATGCTTAGGCAGAAACGTTGATTATTCAGTTCTCATCCCAGCTCTGCACTAGATGGAATCAACATCAGTATTTGTTACTTTCTTTCATTTTTTTTTATTTTATTGTTTAGCAGCATATTTTGCTGCTTTATCTTGACATAATAGTAATTACAATTCTTAACATTTAGCATCTTCAGTATTCTGAACAACACTGCATGGTATCTTTCTTGATAGTAGGAACTATGAGTCAGCAGTCCTTTAATTTTTTTAGTTGCAGCTATTGTTCCAGCAGCAAGCTTTACTTCTATTGTCCACTGTTTGTCCAGCTCATGTTTACTGGACTGTGGGAACGGATTAGGGTTTCATGGCTTTTTTTTCCTTCTTGCATAAACATTTGATCAAAGACATTCCTTGGATGACAAAACACTGTATACTGTGTCACACAGTCCTGACCAGACTGCATGCACAGTAGTTTAAAAACACA